GTAGAAATGATTGGTAAGATATTATCATTAATTTTGAAGTGCTAAAAATATGAACTGTGGGTCTGGATGAAAAGAAATTGTTTGGCTTATAGGAAAACATAATAACCTATCACTCCTCTCTTTGAAAAAGAATGTAATATGTAAAAACAGACAAGATTTTCAGCAGCCTAAAAATCCAATAGGGTTGTAGATACTGTTCCCTGTTTTTTTTAAGTTACAAGTTCATGAGTCTTGTCCTTGTTGACATTTGTTCCTGAGAAAAAATGCTAAACTACTTACAGTGAAGGAAAATATTTTGAAGACAGCAAATGGAACTATCATAAACTAATATTAAAATATTAGGAACCAAAGGTGGGAACTTAACATTGAGTGTCAAAATGTGAGGAATGTAAATACCAGGAATATATAAAATACTTTATTAATTTATTTCATGTTTCAGATGATTTTTCATCTCAGATTTGATTTTGACGTTACATTATAGCATTTTCATTTACATATATAGATCAAATATCCCTGTAAGAATGCAGCACCAAAACCTACTTGTTTACATGGTCTTGCCTTTAGTTTGCCCATATTTTATGATGTAGGTTTCCCTTCCTAAAATGAGTACACTGCTAAAATGACAATTTATCTACTAAATCAACATCTTGAAAGTTTTAGGTGGCAAAGTTTGCAGATAGCAAACTAAAGCTAAGTCAACATTTTCTTATATTTCTTAAGTTTATATACTTCCTTTTCTATCAGAGATCTCACAAGATCTCTGTATCTGCCTGTCAAACAGAAGCTGTGCAGCTGTAAGTAAAATGGTAGTTGGAAAGATAATGTTAGTAGAATTCAGGCATCTCTCTCAAAGCAGCCTGGTCATCTGTATGGAGAAACCCACGATTGGCTGAGTAAGGGAATTTACTGTTTCCCAGGAAAGGAAATTGCCTGCACACATCTGGAAAAATGTTCTAAATGTTTAGTTTTGACAAAATACACATTTCAGCTCTGCTTATAAGGTGAGTTCTGTAGAGTGGGTATCTTCTTTCTAAAAAGGGAAAGATCTAATTTGTACTTTAAATATATCAATCACTATTTAGTATTGTATACTATATACTGTATACACTCAGCTCTAAAGAAGGCAGGAACTCACAGGCTGAAAGCTATATTTTAGTTTACAGGAAAAATGTTTCATGAATGTAAATACAACACTCCATATTGACAGCAAAAATGAAAGATGAAGAGAACAACAAACATGAAAGAAATACTGAGAGGATGTGACTAGCCTGAATTATAACGTTTTACTAAGTTTCTGACATTTATAAGACTCCATGCCAAATTATTTAAATTCCTCTCTACTTCAACATGTCTAACAAAGAAATGGTCGTTCTCATAACTGACAGGGGACAGAACTTCTCAGTCATTCAGTTCTCAGAATAAGACCTCCCTTTCAAGCAGACTTGTTAAAATGCCTCTAAGGCTCAGTAAAAAGTCTGTATGCAGGCATCTTCCTTCCTCTTCCTCAGATTTTAAGGACAAAAAATGGATTTAACTTGCCTTACTTTTCACACCAGTTTTCTAAATTTAGCTGTTACTACTTTCCTTTCCCCTGAACTCTGACTGGCTTTGACTCTCTGGAGAGGCAGAGAAGACCACTTCCTCCTCCACAGCTGGGAAAGCTGCTCCCAAAAGGATAAAAAGGGTGAAGGATCACAATCTACTGCTCCAAAAGATGCACCAAATACAACACTAAGCTGCAGCAAAGGGTTAAAGGGATGTGTATTTATTTCACTGGTAAGGTGAACAATCACTAACTTTCCTGGACAGTGGGAAAAAGCACCTCATTAAAGCAATATGAATCCATCAGACCCAGATTGGGAAAGAGCAAAATCATCTCTCAGTTATGTGTGTGGGGGGATTTGTATTTCAGTTACTGCCCCTGCAGCCTGGGATTATCAATGAAAACCTGGGGAAAACTTTACCATGGTGCACCTCAGGATGTTACTCCAAGACCCCAAGACCTAGATGAGAACAGTGAGTAGAAGCCAAGTGGTGGTGCCTGCTGTGCTGGAAAGAGTCTTCCATTAGGAGTTTGTTGTCACTTCTCAGAATAATACCGGCGCTTTCCTTACCTTTTCCCCAAACTGCAGACAGCTGCCATAGCAACTGGCCATTTACTCATTCATTCATTCACAACAACAACAACAACAACAAAACCAAGACACAAAAGCCAAGCCCAGCTTAAAACACAGTACAAGGTGAACTTGCTTCTCTTTCCAGTATTCCTACAACCACAGTTCTCCCTAGTGGAAGGCCGGGATACAGCAAGGCTTTCTAGGCAGTCTCCAAATTCAGTTTTGCTCCTGGCCTCATTACAGCACAAGGGCCTCCCAGGGTCATGCTTTGGCCTTTCATAAAGGAAAAGAGACTGCAGTTCAAACCTTTAGAGACACTCATCTCTCCTCCAAAACCCAGCAAAACTGAGCTGCCAGATTACAACGGTGCTGTGACTCATTAGGGTGGCATACAGATGGCAAGCTTTTTAGCCATTCAAAAACTACTGATTTAATCAAGCCTCTCATGGAGATCCTGTCTAGTGAACTCTCAGCAGATTCTCCCTTACATCATGTCTTTTATATGTGTTCAGTTCCTTGAGTAGAGCGCTAATAATTAAAAAGAAAACTTCTAAAAGACTACACCGCTCAGTCATATATTTTCATTTAATATGTAACTAAAGAATTAAAAAAAAAATCCATGAAAATATAATCAGAAAAATAAAGATTATCCTCCAGTTCTTCCTCACTAAGAGACAGATATTTCCAGGGTTGGAGCAATCTAATTTTTAGCACTACTCTATTGAGTATACACATGTGGTGGTGAAAGGAAGGATTACTAGTACAATGTGGCCCTTTCTTTTTTTGGGCTAGCTGTGCGAGGGAAACAGGGAACAGACTAATTTAAGGACAAGTTGCAATGGGAAATCCTCATTTAACTTATCAAATTAATTAAAGTACTCAAATAACAGAAAATACTGGATTTGAATGTCTGGTTAGATAGAAATGCTTCACACAGTCTAATGCATTAATCTAATGCTATTTTCTGTCTTCATTGGATAATAGTAGGTTGGTCAAGTATCTTGCAAAGACTGTTATTCACATGGAATTAAACATTCTTTCACATAATTCAATTCATTGAAAATTAGAAATCAGTATACAAGTTTGAAACTTTGTTATCAATGCAAGTAGCTGTCACATTTATCTGCTTGGCTATTGGAAGACAAAATAGAAGGGATGGAGAGCGCATACTTCATACACCAAACCCTCCAAGTACATATATTTTGTTGCAAATAATCTTGACTGTTCCAAACTTATTATTCTGTTTCTGTTAGAAGGATGAACAGTGGCATATGAATGCACCACATAAAAATATCCAACAAATTGGTTTCATTCATCACAGTCCAAATGTAATCAGAATCTTTCTTGAACTTGCCAGAATTAAATTCTAGAGATTTTCCTTTCCAGAGGTAACTATGTAAAGACATGTCAGCAGCTTCCAACAAACTAAGATATGAATTTTAGCTGCTACTTTTGACAAACCCTGAACAGAACTTCCATGATATAAAAAAGTAAAGCCACATTAATACACTATATGAGATAAAGGAAGTTATGTAAGAGTCTGTCTTAAGAGATTCTGAGACATGCTGGGATTTTCCTCAAATATGAGAAACTTTGGTCAGTAATTCATGTTAGTTTGACTAGCACAGCATTCCTTTTATTTTAATTAAGAAAAATCTATAGTTTTCAGATCCAGACCTAGCCAAATCTCAGGCAGTTTGTCTTCAGGAGTCAGTGTCCTATCATGCTGGTTTCAAGAAGACAATTTCTCTTTACAGAGAGGTAAACTTCTCCTAAATTTCAGTGGAGTGGACTCTTTCCCAGGGTCTGGTAAGGCTAGTAATTTTCCACTATTTCAAAATGACTGATCATTGCAGAGACCATGGGAGCTGGGAAGTAGTCTTTTTTACTCTTCCATATAAATTTCAAGTACTTTATTAGAATTTCCCTCCCCTTTTATGGGTATTTCCCACTCCCAGGGGCACAGAATTGGGCTAGGGAGAGCTACCAGAGTAATTCCTACTCAGCCATGCCACTTCCTGAGCCATGCCTTACTGCCAGTGCCTCTGGATGGTTTTTCCTCTCCCAGTCCTAGATAACTTGTGATTTCTAACTCTTTTAGTAACATTAGCACTTCCAAAGTTAGCCAGGACATAAAGAAAAAAAAAGTGCCTTTAAAATAATAAATAAAAAGCTTATAAACGCTTAACCCTTGAAAGACGTGCCTAAAAATGAGTGTTCATCTCAGAGATTCAGTAAAATACAAATTCTGTGTTCAGCTGAAAACCTCTAATTACTGCCCATCACGTTCTCTTTGCAAGGATGTACCCAAGCCTGCTTTTGTACGCATGGGACAGTGTTTTTCTCTGTAGTTCCACAATGTATTGTGCACCAACTAAATTACATCCTGGTTCAGCATATTTTAAAGAAAATAAATTAAGAACAAACAGACCCAGGGACGTGTGTCTGTGTGCGTGTGTGTCTGTGTGTGCGTATTTAGTGGGGGTGGTCGAGGGTAAAGAGTTTAAAAATTATTACCATCGCAAATATTTTACTAGCATAGTAGGAGGCTGTCGGAACTGTCTAGGAAAGTCCTAATTAGAGCCGTGCTGCAGGAATTCGCAGGGGTCCCGCCGCTGCCGGCTCCTCCCTGGGGTTTCCTCTCGCAGCCCGCGGCCCGGGAGGAGGAGCGGCTCGGCGTGCCTGCCCTGCCCGCTCCGCCGCGAGGGCGGGCGGCGGGCCCGGCGCAGGCAGGCGGCGGGCAGCGGGGCGGCCGCGCTGCTCCCGCGCCTGACAGCTGCGGCCACGGCCCCGGGCAGGCAAGCCCAGCCCAGCCCGGCCCAGCCCAGCCCGGCCCAGCCCGGCCCAGCCCAGCCCGGCCCAGCCCTCGCCTGGCGGCACATGGCAGCGGAGCGCCCGGCTGCGCCGCGGGCTAGCTAGGGCCGGGCTCCGGCCAGCGCATCCACGCTCTCTAGGTCCGCCGAGCTACCGCAGCGATTAAAATGCAGCTGGCCGCCTGCTTCTTTTTGGGCTGCGGCATAATCTTAGCTTCGGGATACAACTCCTTCAGTAAGAGCATGGAGACGATAGGCAAGAAGCAGTACCAGGTTCAGCACGGGTCCTGCAGCTACACCTTCCTTCTGCCCGAGGCGGACAACTGCCGCTCCTCCACTCCGTACGTGTCCAACGCGGTGCAAAGGGATGCGCCTCTGGACTATGATGATTCAGTTCAAAGACTGCAGCTACTTGAGAACATCATGGAAAACAACACTCAGTGGCTAATGAAGGTAGGGTAATATCATTTCTATCCCAAAAACTTAACATCCTGTTATCTCTTTCAGTGTGACTTCTTTTTTTCTTGAACCGTGCCTAAATTCACAGAGTGCATTGTCTAAGCTAAATTTCTGAATTACCATTCAATCAAAAAGTTGTTTTGCAGTCTGTCTGGCAAGGAAGAGTGAACTGCACAGTTCTGCAGAGATTGTGCTTTAAAGTTTGTCATTACATTTGAGTTGCTTGGACAAATTGCATACACAGATGGACTGTGGGCATGTCTGAAGTTTCTGACATGAGAGAAGCAGCTACTAATTTATAATTAACTGGCAAGGGCTATTTTAGATCTATTTAAAGACTACAGAATGTACATTTATCCAAGGCATGCCTGAAAAATGTTATCTGAAATGTGATTTCAAAACTTGAATGCAGAAATTAACCTGTTAAACCCCACTGAAAAGAACTGTAGTTCTAGCAAAGGCTGCAAGTCAGACTTGCAGTGAAATTAGCCTAGTGAAGTGACAGAATTTCAAGAAAATTCTTTAGCAGATATCCTTTGCATCCTGTAGCATTTTCAGTGAAATGTACAAGATTCAAGGGAAAAATAATCTGGAAGAGGTGTTACAGATACCACAGAGCTTCCCTTAATGCAATATCACTGGAACTAAGGGAAAATTGACATGTTTATTGCCAAAGTGGCAACATTTGTACCTGAAAGAGCAGGGAAAAAAATTGCAGCATATATTTTTCTTATTACTGGAGAATAAACCTGATCACTCTTTCAAATCTTTATAGAAATTGATTCAAAATGCTCTGCAGTTCAACAGATTTTGATTTAAAAAAACTTTGCTTCACTACTACCTGGAAAGGTGTTATGGTATAGTCTAATTGCATAGTAAATTTATGAGCTTTTATGTTTTGTACCAACATGCCTATCTTCTAAGCAATAGATATTTTAAGGATTTAGCACTGTATTTCCAAATAGGTGTTCCAGTGATGCCATAATGGTTTCTTCATAGCGAAAGAAATCTGTATTATGAATAGAGAGAATTCAGTTTTTAACAAAGAATAGCCATTTCATACATAGTTACAAAATAATTTTGCATTAGGACTCACTAGTCTCATCAGTTACAAAGTTACAGAACTCCTGTGATACAACCAATGAAACCTGCTGGAGAATTTGTGAGTGTTAAACTTCCCATTCCAAAACAAACAGCACAGGGTTTTCATCAACTTGGAAACGAGCCTTGAAGCTTAAATCCAAAATGCATACACTTGAAGGCTCCAGTGTGGAATTCTAAGTCTCTCTTTATAGTTTAGGATGCTTAGAGACACAAATAACGTCAGCTAAGTAGTGTTTTTTTTTTTTTTTTTTTTTTAAACAGGCAAACTTACTTTCCTCCACTTACTTACCTTTCTACTTATTAATTTACAATGCTCACTATTGTAATGCTAAGACCACAATTAACAGAAGTGCAATGTAGGATGAAAAACACACAAAGCAGAACAGTGTAATCTACCCAGCTGCTAAGCAATTTCCTAACATAAATAGTAAATCACACAACCCTCCAGTCTTAAATACCACTTAAGTAGACAAACACAGTATCATAAGTGGCATCAGGTAAACAGAAACCAGTAAGCATCCTTATTTAGTAAAAACTATGCTTTTTCCTGTCAGTCCCTGGGAACTGGGAACTCAGTGCCAAGAGGAACAGGATAAGTATCTCTAACCCATTCTTTGGTTGATCAAAAGATAGATTCTGATTTACAAGACAGAGAAATGTTGGTTGTATTTGAGCAAAGGCTTCTAAGTAAGATACTTTAGAACAGCCTGTTTTCTTTTCTAGCTCTTCCACAGCTAAACATCCTGTAAAATATCTACTGTTTGCCTTTTTCACTATTTTAACACCTGCTCTCTATGTCATCTGTTTTGTTCACAAAGAGCCTCCAACAAAAAGTAGCTTTTCCTCAGATTTACTTTGCTAGAGACACCTGGTCTGCAAGTGAAGATAAAAAGCAAACAATAACCTTTAAAGTTGCTTACAGAGTTTACTTGCCTTTTTTTTTTTTTTTTAAGATCACTAATACACATTCTTAGGTTCACATTTCAACCTCCCAAAATATAGTGCAAGATCAGTCAAGGTGGGGTGAAAAACTTGTATTTGCTTATTGTTTTTTAGTGTATTGAAAGTATAATACAAGATTGCTTTTAAAAATAACCTGACATTTAGATTCTCAGCAATTGCACAAAAACCTTCATTGGGTCTTTTTCTTTATAAGTTATTTGTGTTCATTTAAGAGGCAGAATTGTTTTGTTTTGAAGTTGTGTAAAATATACATTACAAACTTCTAATGTGAATTATTCTTTAAACATTGTTCCTGAAATATTGCACATCCCCAAACATTTTTACACACCTCCCCCTCTCCTGCCTTTAATCCATCAACTAAAGGAAATGTTCTGTTTCTGAATGAACACTGGGTTGTATGAATGGAACAGCATGGGAAGTGTGTGCTTCGTCTGCTTAATGGACAAACACAATGGGAAGAAAATGAGTTAGATATGTCCAGGTTCTTTTCTGATCTGCTTCTGCATAGGAAGTAAAACTTTTTTCTACAGCTACTACAAATTGCTTCTTTGTGAAAACACATATTTTTTCAATCCAAACTAGAATAATGCATTATGCCACTACTGTATGTGCCATACATAAAATTGGAGAATGTAGTTTGAAAAGCAGATTATGTTTAAGCATTCAGATGACAAGCTGGAACAAACCCCTGTTCCACCTAATCCACGGTTTAGCAGTAAGCCAGTAAGTGATACTTCGAAGCAAAGGCCAAAACACTAGATCAGCTGGGCTGCAATATACCTGAAATGAACTTTCCTCTTTTACTTTTCCTGTCTTGGGATCAATTTGGATACTGAAGTCTAAGATTTTTTTTCTAATGTATGTGTGAGCAGGGAGTGTAAAGCTCCCAATAATAAAATTTTCAATTTTCTAGAGATGATAGCAGGTTGGTATACAAGTGAGATACAAGACTGGAAATTTTAAATATAAGCATATATGTTGGCTATTATACTTTGAAACTTTTAATACACAACACCAGGTTTTCAGATATTTCTAAAAGACAGGCAATCCCTTAGGTTCAACAGTTTAACTATTTCTATCTGAATACATGGCAGCTTTACCATTTGGATCACAGCACTTGTACTCCAGGAATGACATTTTTTTCAGATATTAAGACACTGAAATAACTGAATGCTGATCTGAATTTGCTCCTTAATATATTGACTGGATCCTATGACTCAGGAGATATGACTGTCCACAGCAATAGTGTAAAAGAAACAGGTCATATTTTCTTCATCTTTCCTGTTACAAACAACTGAAAACAATGTATGATCAAAGTGATGATAGCATCTGGAATACAGGTAATTTATTTGCAGCTTATCAGCAGATCAAAAGACTAGCAAATAAAAATCTGTGTCAGGAGTCAACATTTAAACCTTTTACCAGAGCTTCATTCTGAAGCATCCCAGAAGACTAGGAGGATGCACTGTTGATAGAAATGCAATATCTTTGGATACACTTAACTGAGATTCATTTTCCCTTGTCTTGATACCCTGAAATGTTATAATTATTGCTGTACTGAATGTCATTTGTCAAATACAAAATGTTACTTTGACATGCTGCCATTCAAAGCCATCTGCCCACAATGGATAAGGACAAATATATTAAACAGTGTTGGATTTTGAAGTACTCAAGAAATTATGCTGATTCTGAATCCTACATTCCTTTCTCAAGAAATGCATCTGGTTTTACTTATTGTGAGAAGTGCTTGTTTCTGTCTATCAGTGATTATTTGCTAAGCAAAAGAAAACTGGCAGGACTCAAAAGAAAAGACTTCCTTACTTTCAGATTAGTATGTTACCAGATAAAGTTTCCACGCTACTCTGGATTATATAATTATGCAGTTTATTGTTGTATTTTCTGTAGGTAAATTTCAGTGAAAGGATTTGAAATGACGTTATTGCATGTGCTTAAAAACTGTGTTATAGAAACCATTTCTTCATCATTACGCCAATACCAAACTGGTGATACAGGCATGAAATTGTACAAAATCAAGAAAGAAGATGAGATTTTCTTGTACAGATCTACAAGACAAAATTGAAATACAGATTTCATTTTCTCAAAGATGTTATCAGTAAAAAATGGGATAAATAGAGGCTTACAGAACCAGTCTCTTGCTAGCATTCAAGATATCTTTTCCTGTGCTTTGTTTGTTATTAACATGACCAAACTTGTCATCTTTGACTGGTCCAAACAGCAAAATGGGAGATTTTCTCCATCAATTATTGACAGCAAGTGTTTATTTTCACTTTTTCTTCTTTATTTTCTTTTTTGTTTTTTATTTCTTCAAGTGTACATATAGGAAATGAGCTTGAAGGTTATTGAATTGCCAGTTTCCAGTTTGTTTTATATGCATACCCACTTATATATATGAAATTTAACAGCATAACCTTTAGAATATATTTGATACTTTGTCAGAGAGATTAAAGTTGGGGATGGTGTTTCTTTTACAGATGATTATTGTTACTACTCATTTTTTCTTGTCAATTATGAGAAAATTTGACAATTTGCATCTCACCTCAAATTTACCAGGTAAAACAATAAAATTTGCTTGATTCCTAAGCTATAATTTATGTATTGCTTAGAATGGAAGATACTCAGAGCCCACAGAAATGGGTTAGACCCATTTCTAACCTTCACAATATGACAACTAGTACCTTTAGTGACTGTTTAATAGTGTCCCTTACATACTATAGTATTTGCTTTTGAAAATGTACCCTATTCTTTGATTTACAATACTAAGCAGCTTATTTAAGCATTATTTCTTTATTAACTCTTTACATACTTTAATGCAAGAACCTCTTGCTGCACCTGTCATTTCATAGGCTTCTACACAGCTTTGGATGAAAGCCAGGGTGGGGGCAAAGTAAGATGGTCTTCCCCCACTG